TTTATATTCTCTTTAGCACTCGTCTCGAAATGCTTCAGTCCGTAGTCAATGGCCAACGCATCGGCTATTTCTGAGTTCACTTCCCTTTTCATTTGGAGATCACATTTGTTTCCGATTATAACCATTTTGACGCCTTTCCTCGTGTGCTGCAAATTAAATTTATTTTTAGTATTATATTCAAATCAAATAAAAATCATTAGCAAAGTAAGAAAAGCATATAATTAATTACATCATTAATATGTTTAATCCAACGGCTCTTAATGTTATCAAAACTTTTGCGATTTGTGATATCATAGACGAGTAGTACTCCCAGCGCTCCCCTATAATACGATGTGGTAATTGAGTCGTATTTCTCTTGACCTGAAGTGTCCCTAAATATCAGATATAAGCAGTTAATGAGTTTCTTTTGTTTTTAGTCCTTTATATTTATATTTTCATCAAAACTAGATTTCTCTCATAACTACTGCACACTCACCAGATCTGGAGTTTTATTATTTTGTTTTCAATAGTAATCGTTCGGATCCTGAAATCGATTCCTTTAAACAAATAATAGCTATGAATATATTGACTATCAATCAGATGTCTGTCCATCAAAAGTACCGATTGTGGGCACAGAGACAGGCAAATAGGTCTCGCCGTGAAATCTCTGCAAAATACTAGTCTTCCCAACACAAGAGTCGCCAACGATTATCAGTTTGAAGAGATGGTCATACGAGCGACAGTTCAGGGAACTCATGTCTGGCATATTTGGTGTCGATTCCTGCGATACCATTGTTATTATGGTTTCAAACTTTGCATAACATTTCACAAATTTTTATAACAAATTGTTTTCTTCTGCTTAAATTAAAAGTTTATTTTAAGAAAACTGTTTTCCAAACAAGAATTGATTTCTAATGAAAACTGAAACAAATGAAACAAAAGTTGTTTTATGAGCGAAATATAGCGTAAAAGTTATATAAGTTAGTGAGTCATATGAGTGTTTATAACTCAAACTGACAACTATTTTGCTCCGGGAGTTAGTCATTCACCACAACAGTAGAGTAGGCTTAGGGTCAAGGAATACAACTGAGACGCCAAACAAGTTTTGGGACAACTTTTTCACTCAAACTATCGCTCAAACAATAGTTATTCAGAAAGTAATACGTAATCGTAATGTGATATCAATGCACGTAAGCAACACATTGCGAGGCATTAGAGTCAG